GATTCGTACTCACTGGATCTGGGGTGGAGCCTGAAGTTCTGCATTTCTATCAAGCTCCCAGGTGATGCCCAAGTCCATGTGACCTTAGATAGTAAGGTCTTAGAGAACTAAAGAGAGTGCCCCCTTCTCATCCACATAATGAAAGTCCTACTTATAAATCCACTACCCTCCTGTGTACAATTTCCTTCTCATCCCCCTCCTTTAATTTATTGTTCTGTTGTTGCTGTTGTTCCTGTAGCTTCTTTATTTTAAATTTTATTAAATGTATTGGAGGACATTGGTAAATAAAATCATACAGATTTCAGGTCTGCAGTTCTATCATCCGTATATTGCGGTGTGTGCTCACCACCCAAAGTCAAGTCTCCTTCTATCACCATATATTTGATCCCCTTCACCCTCTTCTACCTGTCCCCATCCCCTTTTTTCCTGGTAACCACCACACGGTTTTCTGTTCCCTTCCCTTCCCTTCCCTTTCCTTCCTTCCTTCCTTCCTTCCTTCCTTCCTTCCTTCCTTCCTTCCTTCCTTCCTTCCTTCCTTCCTTCCCTTTTCAATAATTCCCAAATGGTACTTCAGAGCATACTGAGTATTAAGACTAGTAATGGACACAATTCTCTTCCATCACACAAAGCACTTTTAAAAAGCCCCTCTCATCTTTCTTTCATATATATCCTTGACCAACTCCATCTCACCATGAAACTAAAGCCTAAACCTATATACACAAAACAACATACGACCAGGGAGTTTGGTAAGAAAGAATAAACTGACATTATTCCTTAGGCTAAGACTAATAGTCACCTGAGTTTTGCATTAAGTAATTCCCTATCTACTTCTGTGGTACTTAATATCTCTGTGTGTCTCTAAGTTCTGAGGTGGTTTGCAAATAAGTATATGGGTGACTCGTTTATTTTATAGTTCTGTAAAAAATTTTCACTTTGCCATCTTTTGGGCTTTCCTTCTCCCTTTTCCTCTGACGGGCTTTCTTTTCATCCTTTCTCTTCCTTTCTCCCTTTGTTTCTTTCCCTCCCACTCTGTTTTTTCTTGTTATTTTTTTTTCAAGATTTAAGATTCCCAACCCACTTAGGATTCCACCCTGGAATTTAAAAACAAACAAACAAACAAAAAAACAAAAAAAAACCCAACCACTCAACCAGCCTGACTTCTCAAAAAGAGACTCCACCCGGATTGTCTTGGAGCGAATGAGTCCCACAGTGAGGTCAGAAGCGAGTCTAGGAAAATACATGTGGGTGCATGTCAGGGAATAAAGAAGGCAGGCAAGTGCCAAGGGAAAGCTTGGATTTTTTTTTTCCTGAAAAATACGTGACCAGGGGCTTTCTTCCAGGGCTAGAGATTTGCCCTGCGCTCTGTAAAATATGAAAAGCTGTTCATTTCTATGAATGTGGTCATTTTCCGGGTTTTCATAGTGCCTCATCTGCTTAGGAACAGACAGGCTTCTGGGAGGCAGGAGGCGTCAGCTTGTTCTGTCCCTGCCCTTGGGCAAGCTGCTCAGCAGCGCGTTCTGTGGAAAAGCCAACCAGCACAGGAAAGTGAAGTACTGCCCAGCCTTGCCCCCGCTCCAGGCACCCAGGGACGGGGCAGGTGTTTGTCTGTCTGTCAGACAGTAACTGTGTCTGAGAGTCAGTTCTGTACTGTGTGCTTTCCAAATGCAGTGAAGTTCAAGAAGAGCTATTTTTTTTTAATGAAAGGGAGGGTAGTCATGGTCAGTGTCTTCTTGGTGCAGAAGCATAGGCAAGGCACTCTGAGTCCAATTCATCCCGGGCTTGGAGGCTCTTCTAACAGACCTGCATGTTTCAGCTGGCCCTGTGTTCCTCCCTATGTGACAGGTGACCCAGACTTGGATTCTAAGTGAATTCTAGAGGGTAAGTTATATGAACTTGGTTCACCTCCATCGACTCATCGGTAGAGTGGACAATCGCCTTCACTGACTGGGTCCTTGTCAGTTGACGGAATTGGAAGTGATGCCTAGAAACAAGCCCCTACTTCTTAACAGTGGTTGTTACCTGAGGGCTTGGAAGATGTTCAGTACGTGTGAACACCCACCTTTCCTTTTTGGGTGAAAAAGAGAGGGAAGAAAGGGGGAGGGCATGATAAAGCTTCCACATGTAACCATCAATAGGATCCCTGGCTGTGACGGTAGAAGCAACAAAAGCAGGGGTCTCAAACTCAAAGGCCCCTAGAAGCCAAGTCATATGAATAAGAAAGCACCACAGAGGCAAAGAACAAAGAACAAAGCAGAAAGTGGACAAACACATGAGAAATACTTCAACTGCTTGTTATTATAGTAAAAGTAAAGTAGCTGCACATCCACAACAAAAAAATTCCATCTTGCCACTCCACCTTGAGTTCCGGAAGTAAGAAGGGGACAGTGGTGTTGGGGGTCAACCGGACGGATCGTGCCCCCTCTGAGGGGCAGCCACTCTCTCCTCACCTTGCAGTTACCATGCAACACAGGACTTGAGGCCCAGTGTGCCCAGCCCTTACAACTTGTTTCAAGATGAGTAGGAGGCTTAGTTTATTCCTAAAATATTGCCCTTTATAAACATCGGCCAACACTGTGGTATGGCCAGCATAGCGTGGTCCCGAAGGCCTGTGGACAGTTCAGTGGCAACCTGCTCTTCCTTTCTAGAGTTCAGCCAGCACGGAAGGGAGCCCAGTGAATTGCTGTTCGCTTTCTATCCTCTAAGAGGGAAGAGAGATAGCAACTTGGGAAGCCGGCATGGGATGCACGCTTGCCTTTGCTGGCGTGGGCAGGAAACTGTTCCCACTTGACTAGACTTCACATCTGTTGGTTCTCACCATATCCCTCCGAGGTGAGCATGATCCTGTTTCACAGACTAGGAGGTAGAAGCTTAGATAAGTAATAATTTGCTCAAGATCTCACACAGATTTGAAACTGGGTTATTTTACCCAAGTTTAGCGCCTTTCAAATACCATGACATGGGAAAATAACATTCGTTGAGTCCAAGGCTCATTTTTCTTCCATGTTCTGCCTTGATAAATGCTAGGCAGTGGAGGAGGCTTGGAAGCAAGTTTCAATCACTAGAATGCCAGTTGGTAAGTGGGTATTTCTGAGCATCCCTGAATATTTTGAGCCTGGACATATTGGAGTCCAGAAATTAACTTCCTGAATCCCAAAGTTAGATATTGCTCTACTGTGTGAGGACTTTATGTGAAACATTTTTAAACACCAATGATGTTAAGTCATAGCCCTTGCAAGTAGACCCAAGTGGAGAAATTTCTATATTATATCTGATAGTGGATCAAGATATTCCAACAATACAGATTCCCTTTAGGTCTGCTCGCTGCTTTATAAAATGCTGGCCTTAAACAAAGATCGGGTTCCCGCGTGTTTTTTAATAGCTGCCCACCAGCATCGTCTTGTTGGTACCCAGGTGGAGAAAGAGAAAATTTTAGTAGCCCTGTCATAAGGGCTAGGAACTGCTTTCTGGCCTGAAGATAGGCTTGCTGGTTGGGTTAAGGTAATCAGGGTCCGAGTGTGAGTTTTGGCCTACGTTAATCCCATCCCACTGCATAGCTGCTGCCATAAAATGGAGGGAGCATAAATTTGCGCGTAGAAAAGTTAGTATATTTTTGGTGGAACGTGGAAGAAATGGGTGCAGGGTGTAGATATTCACTACAAAGCCAACCTAGTCTATGGCTATACAATCAATAGTCATGCTTTATCTTTTATCTAATGCATACAAAGAGGAAAGGCAGGGAACCCTTCCTGGGAGACCTGGCTGGTGGTACAGGAAACCACAAAGAAGGATCTTGCTTCAGATAGAAATCTGCTATTTCTTACTTTGTTGTTTTTCTTGTTGCTCCAAAGAAGGTTTGGGGAACATTGGCCATGGTCATATTTGGGAGGTTTTCTGACACTAAATTCTGAAAAGAACAAATCATCATGTGCAGGGTTCAGCAAACTGCTGCTGCTTTTGTAAGCTAGGAACATGCAACAAAGCCCAGGTGGTGTTGCTCAGTGGTTGAGCACCGACCTATGAACCAGGAGATCATGGTTCAATTCTCAGTCAGAGCATATGCCCGGGTTGTGGGCTCGATCCCCACTGTGGAGTGTGCAGGAGGCAGCCCATCAATGATTGTCTCTCATCACTGATGTTTCTATCTTTCTCTCCCTCTCCCTTCCTCTCTGAAACCAATAAAAATACATATTTTTTTTTAAAAGTATAAAATTTGCAACAAACACTGCATGTGGTCTATAAACCCTCAACTATATCAGGGCCTTTCCAGAAAAAGCGTGCCAGCCCTAATCCAGTGCACCAAAGTGAAGCTTCTTTGCCTCTTAAATAATTAGAGCAAAATAACAAAGTTTAGGGAATCTATGACTCATAAAACCAAATTTACAGGAAATTTATCATAGGATTAAGACTAATTTGCAACAAACACTGCATGTGGTCTATAAACCCTCAACTATATCAGGGCCTTTCCAGAAAAAGCGTGCCAGCCCTAATCCAGTGCACCAAAGTGAAGCTTCTTTGCCTCTTAAATAATTAGAGCAAAATAACAAAGTTTAGGGAATCTATGACTCATAAAACCAAATTTACAGGAAATTTATCATAGGATTAAGACTTTAATGTTTACCTCAACTGCAAAATAATCGCTTCAAAATCCTGATAGTAACGTTCACCCATCTACTAATACCTTGCTTATTTCTCATTTGTTGGGTGCAGGCCTGGGGAGAGAGGGGTGCATGGAAATGGGTTTCAAAAGGTCAAAAATAGACATACTGAGTGTGCAGTTGGCTGATTCTTGGCTGACCACAGGTCGACTAATAGTCATGGCATAAAAACGACATTAGTTCCAAGTCTGCCAAAGTTCTAGGTTCTGAGATGTCATGTTTAATGATGTCATAGAGAAGTTACCCCTGTGTTCCAAGTACGGTCCTATAATGCTAAGACACAGCTACAGTGAGCCAACTGAACCACTGGAGAGTTTCATCAGCAATTCCCTGGTGTAACTCACGATGCAGTGTATTAAAGACGAGGCAAGTACTTATTTGGCTTCATTGAATATTTCAATAGAGACCATCTTGAAACAGATTTTTATCAACTTGAATAATTATTTCTGCCCAGCTGGCGTGGCTCAGTGGTTGAGCATCAGCCTATAAACCAGGAGGTCATGGTTCGATTCCCAGTCAGGGCACATGCCCAGGTTGCAGGCTCAATCCCCAGTGTGGGGCATACAGGAGGCAGCTGATCAATAATTTCCTCTCATCACTGATGTTTCTATCTCTCTGTCCCTCTCCCTCCCTCTCTGAAATCAATAAAAACATATTTTTTTACAAAAGAATTATTTCCTCCGCCCAGTACCTTTGTTGCTTTGTGGCAAGGGGAGATTTTGAAATGCTTGCTCTTTATGCTGTTTCTTGAAGGTGGCACGACCTAAAGAATAGCCAAGGGACAAATCGATCCAAAAGGACTTTGTTCCTCCCTAATGCTTATTTCTTGCTGTGACTCTGGCTGGATCCAAGCCAGCTCCTAACATATCCCATTCTGATCCCACAGGTTCTACCTTAGCTGTCCCTGGAAAATTCTCTAGAAGTAAAAGAGCTCACGTACTTCTCTTATTCTGGGAAGGAGAACAGGAGAGACATTCCTATGGAGTGGGATAGGAAAAATGATGGCCAATAGTATCAACAATTCCTTAGGTGGTATTTTAGAAGGCCACTTGGTATCCATTGCCTAATGTTGGTTATCACAACAAATCTGAATGCAGGTTAGGGAGAATTCTTTATTTATAAAGAAAAAAAATTGCCTCTAAAAGAGAATCTAGTGTCCTACCTCATTCAGGGGTGGAGTGGGCATTAGAATCCAGATTTCATTTTGGGGGTTGGGGGTCAAGAGCTAGACAGAAGGAGGAGGGCATAGAGCCTGGTTCACCAGCTCCCTCTGACTTAGACTTTTGACATTTTCCCCAAACGCAGCTGTGCAGAAGGTTATAAAAATTTGACCAGGCTGAAAGGAAGCATTGCCATGGAACTTTGATGTAAGCAAATGTTTTAAAACAGCACACATTTGCCCAGCCAGCGTGGCTCAGTGGTTGAGCATTGATCTATGAACCAGGAGGTCATAGTTTGGTTCCCAGTCAGGGGACATTTGTTGATTGGATTGTTTATCTTCCTATTATTAAGTTTCATGAGTTCCTTGTAAATGTTGGAGATTAAACCCTTATTGGTGATATCATTGGCAAATATGTTCTCCCATGCAGTGGGTCTTCTTGTTGTTTTGTTGATGGTTTCCTTTGCTGTGCAAAAGCTTTTTATTTACATGATCTCACTCATTTGTGGAATATAGAGAACAACATGGTCTGATGAACGGGGACAGATCCAAAGACAGAGTGACAGCAATCAGACTATTAATCCCTATAGGGAAGGTAGGGAAGGGTGGGGGGAGGAGGAGGAGATCAGCCAAAGGACTTGTATGCATGCATATAGGCCAAACCAATGGACATGGACAACAGGGGGATGAGAGCATGAGTTGAGGGTGGGGGTGGAGCGGGAGAATGAGGGTTAATGGGGGGATGAGGACACATTTGTAATACCTTAACTAATAAAGAATTTAAAGATATAAAAAAAAGAAAAGCTAATACAAGTGAACAAAACAACAAACAAACGATGATCACTCCCCCCCAAACAAAACAAGCGGTTCAAGTTGTTAGATTAGTTTTTCTTTTAAATTTCACTATTAATGCATGTTTAGGTCCTTGTTTAAAAAATCAAATATAGCCCTAGCCTGTTTGGCTCAGTGGATAGAGCATCAGCCTGCAAACTGAAGTGTCCTGGGTTCCATTTCAGTCAAGGACACATACCTCGGTTGCAGGCTCCATCCTCAGCCCTGGTCAAACTCATGAGGAAGCAATCAATCAGTGTGTCTCTCTCACATTGATGTTTCTCTCTCTCCTCCTCCTCCTCCCTTCCACTTTCTCTAAAAATCAATGGGGGAAAAAGTCCTCTGGTAAGAATTGACAATAAAAAAATCAAATATGATGTTCACCTTGAACCATGCAACCTCACCCTTCACTCCTCATCTCTCGCTGGCCCATCTCAGCTTCTCCCCAGAGGTAAACAACCATTACCAACAACAATCCTAATTTGGGGGAGGGGGGAAGGGGTACATCACTATATATACTAGTACTTAAAAGATAAATATATATGACCTCTGGGATATTTAGGAAAGGTTGGGCCACCTAGAACTTGGTTAAGGTTTTTAAGAACTAACCTGTCATTTTATACTTTGTAAAACTTTATGAGTCTCGGTGATTGTGCACATTTCCTCATTTATGTTCTGGTCTCAGAATGAATTCAAAACACTTTTGAAATCTGCCGGCTGCAAACTTGTGGTGATTGAATTTTCAGCAAAATGGTGTGGTCCTTGCAAAAAGATTGGTCCTATTGTTCATGTAAGTATCATCAGTCTCTATTTTACAGTTTTATTTTTTTATTTTTATTTTTTTAAATATATTTTATTGATTTTTTACAGAGAGGAAGGGAGAGAGATAGAGAGTTAGAAACATCGATGAGAGAGAAACATCGATCAGCTGCCTCCTGCACATCTCCTACTGGGCATGTGCCCGCAACCCAGGTACATGCCCTTGACCGGAATCGAACCTGGGACCTTTCAGTCCGCAGGCCGACACTCTATCCACTGAGCCAAACCGGTTTCGGCTATTTTACAGTTTTAGAAGGAATTTAATATGCACAAATTCAAAATCCCCAAATATTGTTCCCAGAAAATCTTAAGTTTGGCTGAGCCATTATGAACTTATAGTACACACCCCAGAAGATTAAGACTATTTGTCTATGGATAATTCTCCAAGGAACATCGTATGTGCAAAAGGAGACAATTGTACAAGTGAATGGATTATTCATAATAATGACATTTTACCAAAGTTCCTGAGTTTAGGACTTCTCAGTATTGGATTGGATTCCAGATAAACATGATACTTTTTTAAACTATAACATAAAAGAATAAACTACCCCCTCCTTCAACCCTATTATCAAAACATATATCCTTTACATCATATTCCTTTTGTATCTTTGATCTACCTTATAAAATACTTTAGTAAAATATTCTACTTAGTAAAATACACACACACACACACACACACACACACATACTAGAGGCCCGGTGCACAAATTGGTGCACATAGAAAGGAAATTAATTAGAAGAAATATTTAACACATTGCAGATGAATCACAAGAATTCTCATGTTTTCACATTACACAGTGTTTTACAAAGTATCATACTTTAAAAAGATATTAGCTTTTTACATGTTTGAACATGTAATAAACAACTTCAAAATGCAATGAGTATTTAATTTTAAAGCATGCCTTTAACATTTATTTAAAACATTTTTTCGTACTCATTCAATAGAAACTTATCTAGCCACTGGGTAAAGCTAGCAATAAAACTACTGGTTCTTCAATGTGTTAATATCACTATTTGCCCTTTCTCTGTAATAGAAGTGTCAACCAAATTCACAATTGACAACGACAGATGGAAACATACGTGTGCAATTGGCGCCAGCAAGAGCTTTATATGTATCATGCATGCACGAGTCAATTTAGCCTTTTATAGAGAGAGAATGAACTTGCTTAATTAGACCTGCTTTTTGATTTAGCTAACCATTTTCCAGCCCAGTGAAGCACCCCAACTTCCTTTTCAGGTCATTGTCAGCAACACAGTAGTAAATATCAACGCAAAGCAGGTTATTATTATAGATCACTCATGGCACAGACATTTGGTTAAAGTGTGAAATGTTTCTATGTGGCTATAAAGCAAGTCAAGTTCCTGGGCTGAAGAAACTGCAAGGAGGCTAGTCACTAGGGAGAGAAAGCCAGGCATTGCTACATGATGTCATTACCCGTCACCTGCAGCCACTGTTTCCAGGACAGGCTGGGCTGTGGGCCGCATTTTGCGCCTTGGGGCCTTGGCAGTGTTGGCTGCAATTTGGTGGGGTGTCGTTCTGGGAGGTGGTGGGGCCTGTTTCCCACTTGGGGGAAGCCGAGTGTTGCTTTGTGGGCGCCAGATCCACAGTGCTGTTTCTCTGTAAATGGCCAGTGCGCGTCACAGCAGCTCCTGCGTTGGGCATCTGCCCCACAGTGGTTGGTGCATGTCATAGCGACCAGTTGGATGGACACTTAGCATATTAGCCTTTTATATATATTCAGATCTTTTTTCCACATACACACTGGTTCAGGTTTTTCTAGTCTTTAGATTATAATTTAATGTTTATACAACGTTTTATCTATTTAATTTTCCTATTGCTTCATTTAAAAGTTTTCACCATTATACTTATTTTCAGTATACCCTTCTGCATTTCTCCTTAAGTGCAGAAGTTTTACATTTACAGTCAAGTTGGTGCAATCTATTCCTTCAAATATAAAGTTTTGATTACGCTACATAAGTGAAAATACTCTGGTTTATATCCAAGGAGGTTTCTAACATTTCTACTTTTCTGACTTAAACTCTTGAATTCACCTGAATTAATTCTATCCACAGCCACAACCTTTGACATTTAATTTATAATACTTAGATCCAAATAGAGAACTTTGCTTCATGACATATGAACATCCATTCTATGCCTAAAATTCATGAAATATCCAGATGGAACATTTTAATGTGACATGCCCCCCTATTATGACTCTCAAATTTTTGGAGAATCCCCAAAGTTCAGCTTCAAGAGTCTAATTATACTCTCATGCTACTGAGTATAGGCTGATCAAATTCCAACAGTCAACCAGAAGCATTTTCAAAAAGTACAATGAAATCTAAGGATTGGTAACCTCTCCCTTCATACCTTAGGGCCCTAAGAGGAGTAACAGCATTGCTGCTATAACGGGCTCCCATAGCCACTCCTACACTCATTCTTAACTTTATTGTTAATTATTGTTAGCCCTGTGGAGATAAACTCCCTGAATTATCCTAATTTGAATGTGTCATCTGTTTTCTCTTGAGATCCAATTAATGCAAACATAGTTTTTAAATACAGTTTGGTTCATCCACACTGTGAAATACTATTCAGATCTTGAAAAGAATCAAGTAGACTCATACATTTAGAAGACAGCATAGTATTAAATAAAAAGAGTACAATATAGGAAGATTTATATGGTATGGTCCCATTTATGTAAAACAAACACACATATATGCGTGTGTAACTATACGTGTGTGTGTGTGTGTGTGTGTGTATTTGGGAGAAGTTCAAGCTTTTGTTTTTCTTGTACTGTTTTAACTTTTGCAAGAGAATATATTCATGTATGGGGTATAATTTTTTTTAAACTCATAGCACATAAGGGTTTTGGAGAAAAGGCTTTATTTCCTTTAGTTCACTTTATCAGTCAGAGATCAAAGCAGGAAACAGAAACCAAATTAGATAGAAAGGGATTTAAATACAAGGAATTTCATGCTTATAAAATAGCTGAAAGACTGGATGAATGGGCTCTGGACTGGCACTCCATGAGCAACTCTTTCACAACACCACAGACCCACCTACAGGGATCCGAACTTTGCCATTATCAGAAGTGAGGGAAGATGGGAACCACTACAGGAAGAAAAGAAAAAAACACCAGCAGAGCTGCAATCAGAGAGCCAGAACCAGACTCAGGAAGCTACTGCTGCCACAGCTGCCTCTGGACATCCAGAAACTGATGTGTGACACGGGATCCCTGAGTCAGCCGACTGCTGCTGCCTTCAGCACAACTACCTTCCCATACCCATAGTCTTGCTTTTTAGCAGGAACATCCAAAAACAAACAGAAAGTACCTCTGTCTCATGTCTGCCTTCCAAGCCTCACCTGCATACATCTCATTGGTAAAACCAATTTGCTCCCAGAATGCTAGCTGCAAGAGAGTCCAAGGAATCTTTACCTTTTACCTTTATAGGCTCTGAAGGAAGATGGAATGGAAGTTAGCTAGCTAAACCATTACTAAAGGAGGAGGAAGGAGTCAAGACATTTTAGACACACAAAAACTACAAGTTTCCAACCCATAGCATCTTTGCTAAAGGATGCATTGAAACAAGAATAAGGTGAATTATAAGAAAATGTGCTTTTTAAAAAGTGATTTAAAACTTTGTCTTCAGTAAATTCCACAGTTCCATATGATGACTAGGAGCAGGGATTGCGAATTCTTTCTGTAAAACTCTAGAAAATCAGTATTTTCAGGTTTGCAGGCCATATGGTCTCTGTCATAATTACCCAGCTTTGCTGTTGTAGCACAAAAGCAGCCAATGGCAATCTACAAATGAATGGACAGGCTGTATTTCAATAAAATTGTATTTATAAGACCAGAGGGAGAGCTGGCTTTGGTTTACAGGGCACAGTTTGCTAACCCTGGGCTGAGAGACTCACCGGGCATATAATTCAGAGCATTTCTGGAGAAGGAAAGGTTACAAATTTGTTGAGAAATTGCATTGTGGGATCATGGGAAGGCAAGTAGTCTGCGAGGCAAACTTACAGTGTGCACAGTGGAAGTGGCATCAAGTGAGTTTCAGAAAGGAAGCTGAGGCCGGATCAAAAAGGACCTTGTGTAATAACCTAAGTTGCTGCTCTGTCATAAGAATTTTAAGAAGGGTTTTCCATGATCAAATGTGGGTTTTAGAAAATACTTTTGGCAGTGTTACTTAAGAATGAGTTGGGAAGACTGAAGTCAGGTAACCCAAGGTGAACAACAATCTAAATTTTGGAGATTTGGTGGTTTCTGGAGAAAAACAGGGAAGATCAAAGTCAGGAGACATTTTAGAATTGAGACCAAAAGCTAACAGATTATCTATGAGGAAGAACAGAGCAGAAGGAAGAGTTGTTGTTGGAGGCAGAGCGGGAGTGGTCCTCGGTGGATGGAGTGGGGATAGGAAGGAAGACAGTGCCCATAGGGAACTCCAGCCTAGCAAGGGACCATATCTGTACCATGTCTTCTGGCTGCTACTTGATACAAAAATGGTAACTGCCACATCCTTGTACATTTCCTGACAGATTTGGGAGGCTCTGAAAACTTCATAAATAGAACTGATCCTGGGAATTAGGTGACCACATAGGTCAAACCCATTCCCATGACTCCTATGAGAGAATATCCATATATCACCAAACTTGACAAGTGCAAGTCAATTGCCCTGGAGGTCTTGGGTGACACCATTTTCCCGCCAGGTACGGAGATGCTGCCAATCTAAGTCAACATCTCTCTCTTTTTAAAAAAAATCTGAAATGTTCTCTAAAACTCCAAAGGCCTTTATGTATATTATCTAAATGTTTTCCCCCAATTTCACCATCTTTTAATGAGCCTCAGAAGAAGGAACTCCTACTTTGGTCACGATCCATGGATAAAAAATTGGAAAGAGTCCTTCAACAGAACTGTGCACAAATCCAATACTCACCGCACGCCATGCTTCTTCCTTCTTCCCCATGGGCACAGCCCTCCCGGCAGCCCCATCTCTGACTGACTCCACTTGGCCAAGCTCAGCATACCCTACACCACCATCAGAGACAAGTCCCATCTGAAACAGGTCACTAAATATGCTTGAAATATGATATTAAAGCAAACAAATCAATGTGCAATTAGGTGTCCTTAGTGTATGAACACAGCCAGCTGGAAAAACCACACCGGAGTTGACATTTACAGGCTGTTGCTGCTGCTGCTGCGTCCACTATCCCGCAGACCCATCACTAATGCCATTGTTACCGCCACTGCCAAAAATGCTTCCAGAACACAACAGAAGCAGAAGAGCATTGTTTCTTCCTGTCTCTCACCTTCCAGGCCTGGCTGGTGTGGCTCAGTGGTTGAGCATTGGCCTATGAGCCAGGAGGTCACGGTTCAATTCCCAGTCAGGACACATGCCCCAGTGGCAGGCTCGAACCCCAGTAGGGGGCATGCAGGAGACAGCCAATCAATGATTCTCTCTCATCATTGATGTTTCTATCTCTCCCTTCCTCTCCAAAATCAATAAAAATATATTTACCAAAAAAAGAAAAGAAAGGCCTGGCAAGAAGAGAAAGTAAAGGCAGAGTTTGAGTATTTGATTCAGAGATCTGTAGCTTTCAGATCACAGAAGATGGAATCTCTCCCATCCCCATCCCCACACCCCTAGAAAAAACCTACCAGCTCTCCCTCCATCCCACAGGGTATCTGCGTCTACCACATACATTTCATCATTTATTTGCTTTGTGTCCTTTTCCAACTTTGAAACTCTGGTCTTCAGTTTGGTTTTTTAGACTCTGGTTCTACCATGGACCTTTGCTTTTGGCATCATCTGACTTTTGACTTTGGTGCTTCAAATTCTAGGCAGGAGTGTAAGGCCAGAATGATGCTTAGCTGTCTTAAACAACCTTTTCGTTCATTTCTTGGTTTTGCCAAAAGATACCTGTAATGTGTAGTTTAATATTAACACTAAGCTAACAGGAAATTTTTATTCTTTTACTTTTCAAGGCAATGTCTATGCATTACCAAAATGTAGTGTTTGCGAATGTGGATGTCGACGATTCTCGGGTAAGAGTCTGAAATCCTTTCGCATAACGTCCAATTGTAATGTCCTTAAGAGCACTGGTTCAGTGATTATAGTCAATTTTAGGTTAAGTAGAATTTCACAATTCTTTCTGCTAAACTATTGAAAACTCCCTCGTAATGCTCTTGTGTGTTTTGTATAGCTTAAAAAACAAACAAAAAGCCAGCAAAAATGTGGCTGTCCTGCCGCCCCTCCCCCCTCTCATACTATAGCAGATGCCACTAATGAGTCCCAACATTCTCTGGACTCTGCTGGAAAGCTGCTCAGCGGAGTGGCCGGAGGCAGGCAACACCAGATGGCTGGAGTTGGGCTCAAGGCAAAAGTGATTTCGCCCCTGTAATAGATTATTATTAATCAGTTTCTAACTCAATGCATTATACACATTTTATTTATTTTATTTTTTTATTGATTTCAGTTGAGGAGAGGAAAGGGAGAGAGAAATAGAAACATCAATGAGAGAGAATCATCGATTGGCTGCCTCCTGCACGCCCCTACTGGGGATTGACCTGCAACCTGGGCATGTGTCCTGATCACGTGGTTCATAGGTCCACGCTCAGTCACTGAGCCGTGCCAGCCGGGCAGCATTACACACATTTTAATATATTTTACTTTTATCTTTTTGTATCTTTTTTTTGTGGGGAGTTTTTTTAAACATCCCAAGAAATTCCAGGAAATCCTTCTCTCATGTCCTCAAAGCCTTCCTTTCTCAACCCATTCCCTTCCAAAATAATGAGCCATGGGTCTTCAATCAAAATGTGCCTTCTTAATAATGCACAGAGTGTGCCTACAGAATTATTCTTCCTAACATTTGTTCATTTATAATGAGGAAAAGTAACATTCACTAGTGACCTACGCATACCTTAGGTTGAATTTGAGCTTCAGAATAATGAAAAATATGTTATTCACCCATTCTGCCCTTTAATATGTATTCTATTCTTGTGGGTAAATATCTAGGAGTGGAATTGCTGGGTCGCATGGTTACTCTGCATTGAACTTTTTAAGGAATTGACAACCATTTACAGCCCCACCAGCACCATCTCAGCATTCTGATTTCCGCACATCCTCACTAATGCATTATTGCTTGCCTTTTTTTTTTATTGTAGCTCTTTGTCTTCTAAGGTTAACCAAAATGCACAATTTTCTTTCCAGATAGCAATTTACTTATTAGTTGTTGTCATGGAAATTATAATTTAATGTGTGTGTGTGTGTGTGTGTGTGTGTGTGTGTGTGTGTGTGTTGTAGGTGGCTGTGGAGAGATTTAGTGCCATGAAGTGCTAAGAATTTTATAGAGAAAAGCCCAGTTCTGTTGATCCTGTGGGTGGCCAGTTTTCTTTCAACTCTAAACAAGATAAATAAAAACTGGCATTGAAAGCAGATTATAATAGTTAAACACAACTGAAATTTTTACATTTGTCTTGGGTTTTTGCTCCAGAATTTTTACATAGATGGTCAGTGAAGGTTTAAAAAAAGTAAAAGAAACATGTAAGTCATACTTAAAATGGTAGACCATCACATCACCACATGTCTCAAGTGTGAGTTACGGATACTTTTACTCTTCCTTTCTTCCTTTTAGTTTTTGTGTTTGCAATATTCTCCCTCCACCCTGGGTTCCACTGGGGCTCTCTGCAGTCTTCTGTAAACTCTCAGAACAGAGCTCATATGGTCATTCAATCCATTCTGTCGTGGCTTCCATCTCTCACCTCTCTAGACCTCTGGGTGAGAAAACTCGGGAATGCTGGGCACAGTCATTTCTGTTGTAACGTTCCTGGAAGCTGTGATTTGTTGGAAAAGTTGTTGGTAGGAGAATCTATAAATGTCAGCTGTCCCTGAGCTTTCAGACAAGTCTCCTGAGAAGTCACCAAGTTCCCTGCTTGGTAAAGACAGTGGACACCACAGTTGTGACTCTGTGCCCTTTTCTTTCCCAGGACTTGGCCCAAACTTGTAACGTCAGAGTAATACCCACATTTCAGTTGTTCAAGCAAACCAAAAAGGTATGTTTCCATGGTAACTGACAAAGTTGCCAGAGATTATAGAACTATCAAAGTCTAAAATGGATGAAACAGCTGCATTTATTTTTAACACTTAGCAATGTGTAAGTTCAGTGTGTGAACTTTACATATTGGCAGTGAGTTAAAAATACCTGAATTATAGTAGATCTCCCTATTCGGACCCTCTGACATGTCCAAATTCGTAAGAAATATCCACTATTATCTCTATCTGAGGCAGAACCCTTCAAAAGAAATCTCACAAAAAAGACATGATGAAATTGTCATGCAAATGTATACAAGTTTTTACCAACAGATGGGGAAATGTTAAGCAAAAACCATCACAAGGCTATAAAGTCCATTGGTGGACCAGGCAGGTTCTGGATTCAGATTTCCATGGTCCAAACACCAGAGCTACTACTTTCTAGCAGCTCACTTAACAACCTCTTTGTATCTTCGTTTCCCTGGCTGTAAAAACATGAACCATCCTAAGTTTTCCCCTCACGGAGTGGTTATGAGAATTAAATGAATTAACATGAGTAAAGTTTTTACACCCATCCTGACACACTTTAAGCACTCGGTCCATTATCTCATGAAAATATTAATGAAATGAAATGTGTGAAATACTTGGTGTGTGATAACCCTGGTAATTTTCAATAGGAACATATGGCTGAGAGCACTTATAATTGTGCATACCTTATGCAACACTGTTCAGAGAAGCAAACATTTCATTGCCTCTCACACCATCATTCCATTGTTGGGAACTTTTGCATCAGATATACTGCAAGGAAAGATTAACAGCTATGTGTGTAGTAATTGTAACATTGTTGCTAATAAAATATGGAAGGGAGCTAAATGCCTTTTTTTAGTAGAATGGCTAAGTAATTTATGATATATCTACTCTATGAAATGGTATCAATTAAAAAGTGTTATGAAGAATATATGTACAGTAAAAAATCATGCTTAAACTTTAGAAAGATTATGTCTGCAATATGAAGAATAAAAGCACTTGATATGCTAAACTAGCTGTAGAATTTTATACTCAGCTTCTATTTGTTTGTATGTATTTACTGTACATAATCAATCCAGTAGATTTAAATAATGTTTCCAAAAAAATAAGACTACCTATTCCCTCTCTTGAGCTTTCACTTGAAAATTGAAGCTATTTGATATATGCATTCGTAACCACCCCTGCCTACATCTCATATTATTTGTGTCTTCCCCTCTTTTATCTCAAAAATGAGGGTGCTTTCTACTTCCTAAATCCATTCATCCACCACATCTTGACTGAATTCTTTCTATTCTGCTCCAGGCCTCCATTCACTGGCAAAGAGCCACTGTCCATTCGCCCTTGTATTTTTCATGTAGATTGTACCAACAGCCTTATGGAAATTCCTCTTAGATCACAGACTTTGGAGAATATCTGCCTCCCTTAAAAATATAATCTGCTCCCTTGCATTCCATCAGAAGACTTAGGGAATCCCTTGGGTTTCTGTTTTTCCATTGCTGCCAAGGCCCTCCGCATTACCTCCGATACTCAAATACCATGGCCTCCCTTAGGCAGTTTTCTGGCATTTTCTACACAGCATCATCCTTTCAAGGTTTCATTCTTCTGTCTTGCTCTTGATTCTAGCTCATTTCAAATACCTTCAAGGTATATAGAATGTAAACAAAATAAAATGTTAGAAAGCTAAAGCAAATTCAGCTATGTAACAATGACTAGGGCCATGGTGTACAATGGGCATTTCTTGGTGCTGGAAGTTTCCATTCAGAGGTTGAACAAATGCCTGGCAGGGATGCCCTATAAACAACTGCTGTCGTTGTCTCTCAGTTTTAGGGCCCAGGACAGCCAAAGCCGCCCGCAGGTAATAAATCAGGTGGGTGTGTTCCCGCCTGGTGTGCTCCTTAGTGTTCCAGTAAGAGTAATTGTGGTTTTAAAGAAGTCCGTTCCTGTGGTGTCCTCCAGGTGGGGCATCCAAAACCTTGGCTGGTTTTTGTAACCAGAACTTTATACTCTATTTTATTGTAAGTAGTTCCTAAATTCGGTTTATAAACCCTCTTTAAAAGCCTATAAACTCTCTCCAGCAAAATGCACATAAACCAGAATGTGCATAGAATTCTAGGGTATTCGATGAGCCTCTGAAGCTGATCAATAGACCCCCTTGGTTAATGGCTTCAGTTCCAGACCAAAGTTGGTGAATATCCACGGAGTAGGGGAAGGTAGAATAACAAAGACTTACCAAGTCTTGGCCAACTGCGTGAATATGGGCCACTGTCAGCGGTCGGTTCCTCCTTTTGTTCTTTGATAGAATAAAATGCACTTCAGTCCTCTCCTGAGAATGATGAGATATGGAGAGGTAGATGCTAGTAAATGAATTATTTGCAAAAGAATAATTCAGAAGAATTGAGCTCTGTAGTAAGTGGGAGGAAATGTTTTCCTTTATGCTTCTGAAGCACAGGGCCCTTGCAGAGGGGGTGGAAGTCACTTCTAGCAAATACCCTCCTTGAAGCAGGGAGAGAGGTGAAAAGAATTCCAAGTAGGCAGCAGCATTGTGCGGTATAAAGAGGACAGCGTTGGAAGCAGGGGTCACACACTCGGTGTTCTCAAGGGTCAGGCAGGGACCATAGGGGAGGCAGTAGGAAGTGAGGAGTATGGTGGTCCCTGGAAAATCACCTCCCAAATGCTGCTCTTACTGTTCCAGTTCATAGAAAGTTGAGCTTGACCCGCCCTCTAAAAGGAGTATCTGCAGATACTCATTTCTGCCATCTCTGGAGTCAGACAGCTGTAGGTTGGCCCCCCAGGTCTGCCTCTTATTAGTGTGTGACCTTGGGACGATGCTTTAACCACCTTGAGGTTCAGTGTCCTGCTCTGGAAAATAGGACTGTATCATGTGTCTTTGAATGATTGTCATGAAAATGTACAGAAGGTGCCCCAGCACTGGACTTGGTACAAAACATAGCTGCTAGCAGATTCCCAGGATCTCCCTGTGCACCTGTCTTCCTGAAAAATGTAGAAATAAATAGACATTTGGAAATAACTGTTATGAGAAATCTCTAAAGCTCTTTGAATAACTATAATAAGCTAAGTCTTCTTAGCATTGCGGGGTTACCGACCCAATGGCATCCAAGTTGTTAAGGATTGTTTTAGACACAGACGGGTTCTGCGTGAGAAGGGAAAAGAGAACTCTCACATGGTCTTCAAGGTCCCGAAGGATGCAGATCCCTAAAAGGGGTTGCATATCAGCCCCATAAGCAGCTGATCCACGGGCAAAGGTTAATTGGCTGGAGGAGGCAAGAACTGAGTGAGATGGAGGGAAAGTCAGAGAAGTGCAGCAACCATTCTTCACCGTTTAGCAACCTTTGGCGCCATTGCCAAAGGTGCTGCTCTCTGCTTTAGCAACTGAAAGGCAGTAATGACTTTGTACCTCTTTTCTCCAGGGCAGGGATTATTAGGCTGAGGCCAGTGAGGCAGGATATTGCAAGTGTAGGGGAGAATCCTATCTTCATTTGAATTTTTGATGTATTGTTTATCATGGATTTTTGCATTAACTTTTAATATTATTAAAATACTAGAGGCTCTATGCACGAAATTCGTGCAAGAGGAGGCCTTCCTTCCCCCACAGCTGCTGGCACTAGCTTCCCTCTGGCACCCGGGACCCAGGCTTCCCTCGCAGCCCTGGCTTTGTCCGGAAGGATGTCTGGTCTAATTAGCATATTATGCAGGGATTATTAGGCTGAGGCCAGTGAGGCAGGATATTGCAAGTGTAGGGGAGAATCCTATCTTCATTTGAATTTTTGATGTATTGTTTATCATGGATTTTTGCATTAACTTTTAATATTATTAAAATACTAGAGGCTCTATGCACGAAATTCGTGCAAGAGGAGGCCTTCCTTCCCCCACAGCTGCTGGCACTAGCTTCCCTCTGGCACCCGGGACCCAGGCTTCCCTCGCAGCCCTGGCTTTGTCCGGAAGGATGTCTGGTCTAATTAGCATATTATGCTTTTATTATTATAGATTATTATTATAGATGTGTTAAACTATTCCTTCCCTTGAATCCTGAGTTTCTGGCACCCCTTGAATTTTATACCCTAGTCTCAGTCCCATTCTTCTCTGAATTTTAAGTTGTTGAAAAATGGGAGTATTCCACTGGGCGATTCTCCAGAAAGACTTACAAGACTCAATAGCAGGTTGTACTCATAGCTGAGATTTATCACAGCAAAGAACACAGAGTAAACGCAGCATGAAAAAGACATGCATTGATGGAGCCCAGAAAGGATCAGCACAGACTCCTGATGTTCTTTCTTGTCCAAGGACATACAGGGGTAATCTATCCAGCAATGGACTTTAGGGACATGTGCAGAATGTTGCTACTTTAGGGGTGCCCTTTGGAATCTCAGGGTCTGAGGACTTTATGTGGGGACTAGTCACATGGATATATCATGCTAGGCAACCATTGCTACACAACTAGCCATGACAGTGGAAACTTGGTACCCCAAAAACAAAACCAGGCACACATCATCAATATCGATGTTTACACAAAGCAACTTGATAAACTAGCATGTCCCAGGCCTTTGCTCCAGGTATCTACACTAATAAAAGAGAAAGATGCAAATTGACCGTACTTTTGTGATGCCCACCAGCCAATCAGGCGTGAGTATGCAAATTAACCCAATGAAGATGGCAGGTTAACTTGCATATGCAGGCGCCTAGTGGCTGGGGGTGGGGCGGGACGCTTGTGTCATCACCATGGTGACAACACAGGCGGCCCACACCACCGCAGCCGCTCCGGGCCTCTGGGCAGCATGAGAAGGCAGAAAAGCGACTCTGGGCCAGAGCGAAGGCAGAAAGGTGGCTCTGGCTGGAAGGAAGGCGGTGCCGGCAGCCAGGGGAAGGAAGGCCCATTCTTGCACAAAGCTTGGTGCATCTGGCCTCTAGTTTATAATAAAGTCATCAATCACTAACACAAGGAACACTCAGAGGGCCACTTGGAGGGAGAGGAGGGGTG